TTCTATATATATTCAATACATTTAAATTTAAGCTAATTAATTTCTGTTCTACCCAATATTCACAGCTATTTGGTGCGCCCCTCACCGTTCTCGGCACAAAAGACCTTCGAGCGTCACAATTCGCGCCGCAAGTCGAACATTTCGTTCTGTTCGAACATCAATTTGGGCGCCACCTGTGGCCCGCAAATGCCAAATATGAGCAACACCGCCGTCGGAGCTGGTTCGCGACGCGGCTCCGGCATCGCCGGTTTGAACCCCATGCAAATGCAGAGCGTTCAGACATTGGCCGGGTATGGATCATCGCAGCNTTTATATTAATATATATTGATTAATATTTTCAGTATTTACACTTTTATTAATATTATCATATTTCATATTATTTTAAAATTAATTTTCCATTAAAAACACATTTACCATTTAGTTCCACAGCTCGTGTCACGAATATATCTATAACTCTCAATTGCTCGTCTCTAAGTATTATGTATTAAGAACCCAACCCACCCAAAAGCAGCCTGTCCCGTGTCTGTGTTGTGTGCGTGTCGCAGCTAATGAAATATACTCTAGTATTGCCCCCTAGATGGGGAATTCCCCTCCATCAAATTGTCCCCTTCCCTATCTCATTCTCTCCCTGAGTTGGCTTAGTTAAGGTGCGAAAAAAAAGAGAGAAAACAAGAACATTGTATGCAGATATTGATGTGTTTTATCATTTCGCTTATAGGCAAACTACACTTAAGTATTTGAGTAGCAATAAATTAGATTCAAAATTCGGTATGCTTTATTCAAAAAGTGTGCAACAAAAGTGTGTTTTGGGAACAACAAAGTAGTTAAACTATTGGCATGAATGGAATGGTATATACCACTTTAGCTAGCTGTAAATAGTATCGTGCATTAAGATGTGTTAGCTGCTAATGCATTCTATATATAGATCTAAGTAAATTCGATTCATTTCTAGCATATCTCGCTCTAATGCAAATTAGCTGCCCCAAAATCAAGAGGCTCAAAACCAAAAATCAAGAAAATTAATTGCAATACAAAATTTTAAAATAATTTTAGCAGCTTTTTCGTAGCAATAGAAATTATGTATATACGATAGTTGTAATCGATAGTTGTAGTTGAAATTTGTTCATGATTTCATTCTCTATAAATTTGAAGATTTCGCATTGCGCACAGCTACTTCCTTAGGTTTCATATGTTGCACAGAGTTTTGAATTGAATTCGTTATTTCGCTGAAGTAAATAAACTATATTTTACTATAAGAAAGGTGCTATCGATGTTTTGTACCGAAATATTCTTTTAAATCATAAAAAAAAACTTTTTAATGATGGTTTTCAGAACATAAAACATTCAAAAGAAACAGGCTTTGGTATACTCTAATGCTTTACAAAGAAAAACAAACAAAAATGAAAATATGAAAAACAATGCTATGTAGTCGCTGTAAATATTAGTTATTAAGATGGTAGCATTCAAGGAACTGCATACAAACTATTAGAACTACAACGCAAAACAACAGAAATTAGTTAATAATAAAGTTTATGAATATATATAGTCGATAGTCGATAGTCGATAGTCCTTAAGCACTTAGTTCGGTTTGAGGGCCGTGCTCAAAGCCTAAGCCTATAGCTTGTAAACGAAACTGTACCAAATTGAATGAGCTATACACATATTCCAAGCATCAACCACATATATATTATATATATCTTAACTGTCGATTGGCACCTCTAAAGAACGAAACCCAGACACGTCCCCAGCAACAGGGAAAATTTATTAATTAGCCTTTAGCTAAAGCATACAAATGTACCTACACTCCACACACACAAACATACATATACATATATACACTTCTATAT